ATACAATATTTGTCCTTTTGTGACTGACTTATTTCACTCAGCATAATGTCCTCCAAGTTCATCCACGTTATGCGGTGTTTTTTTTTTTATTCAGTTTTTTAACTGAAGCTCTTCATGGTGTCTCTCACAAATGGCCAAACCAGCTCAGGGCATTTCTTTGATTTTTCTGTATGTGGAGAAACATCTCTACTGAATATGTCTGTAATGAATAATCTGTATTTACAAGAAATAAAAAGGAGCTGGGAATTAGGTTCTATTGACAAAGAAGCAAATTATCATTATAATTGTGCTGCCACTATTTGCAAAATAACTTAGAGTCATTTTAAGAAGGAGAAGCTCTACTCTGCATACATAAAGTCACCATGAGTGGGAAACAACTCGAGGGCAACAACACACAATCTCTGATGTGTGTGTGATTGTTGTCCCAGCTTCTAAGAAAGTTTTCATTAAGAATCATAAAAGATGACCTGGCACTGAAGCCACTCCTGGAGGACACATTTCAGCCAAATAATAGATTGGCCTAGAAAATAAATCATAACACTCTCAAGGAATATGCTTCTTAGAACAATCAACTATACAAGAACAAATGGGTAGCATTTGCCCAAAAGCAAAGATGAAAAGGCAAGGAGGGGCAGGGAAATTGGAGGGATGGAAACAGGGAAGGCAGGGTGGAATTGGGGAGCATGCTGGCCATTGTGGGAATAGTAACCAATGTCACAGAACTATTTGTGTAGGAGTTATTGAATGGGAAACTAATTTGCTATGTAAACTTTCACCTAAAACACAATAAAATGTTCAAAAAAATAATAATGAATATCACTCTTAAGTGTACTGTGCTCCTTTAAAAAATCACCTACATGAGACCAAACAGTCAACAATTACTTTAAAATAAAGATGAGAAAGGAAGGGGCAGGGAAACTAGATTAATAGAAACTGAACAATCAGAACAGAAATAATGAAAATGTCCAGACATTGTGAAGAATGCAGCCAATGTCACTGAATAACTTGAATAGAAATTGTTGAATGGGAACCTAAACTTCTGTGTATACCTTCATCGAAAACACAATAAAATACTATTTGGGGGGGGGGGGGAAGAATCATAAAGGCAATAACAGTCAGCCCCAGAGAATCTTCCAGCATGATTTGTATAAGCTGAGTTTGGGGGTTTTGTTGTGCCAGAGGCCACCTTCCTTTAACGAGGGGTCAGTTTGGGAGGGCTACTATAATTAGTAGGAGCTCTGGTAGTGCAGTGCCTAAGATACTTGACTGCTAACCAAAAGGCTGGAGGTTCAAACCCACCAGCCACTCCTCGGAAGGAAGATGGGGCAATCTACTTCCGTAGTGATACCACCTCGGAAACCCAAGGAGGGGTAGCTGTGAGTTGGGTCTGACTCTATGGCAAATAACAACAACAACACTATAATTAGTGGCTGAACAAGAGTCCCTGCCCAAAGCATTGTCTTGTCAGCCCGGGAGATGTGCAGGCCAGTTTGAACAAGAGCTGTGTTTTTTTGGAGAAAGACAAGGAAGCTTGTTCTCCAACAAAATCTAATTACCCAGGAGAGTACAGTTCCACAGGCCCTGAAGGGGAAAGAGGTTTGAGAAACCACTACAGAAGCAAATCCTTGCTATTTTTTCATCTCCTTCTCCAGGCCCCCAGAAAATACAAAGTAAAGAGAGATGTGCTCCTAAACTTTATCCCAGGATCTCAACCAAGTGTCATAATTAGAATGTGCACTCCAATTTCTTACGAAAGGCCATAGAAATCCTACAGGAAACAAAACAACTGGTCAGAACATCCATATGACTCATGGAACAGAATTCTGTCTGGAAAAATATTGTCTGGTTTGTCACTTCCTTTGATGTTAAAATCACTATGAGAACTCAAAGCAGAAGATGGAGAAGAGATGGAATGAATTTGAATGAGGACTTCAAAAAGGTTCGTTCCAGTTCAACCCCCTGCTGAGAATTTACCTTTCCAATTACCTGGGGATCTTGTTAAAATGTCAATTCTGATTCAGTGTATCTGGGGTAGAAATAAGGAACTCTGGTGGTGTAGTGAATAAGGCATTCAGCTGCTAACTAAAAAGTAGGCAGTTTGAACCTACCAGCTCCTTTGAGGAAGAAAGATGTGGCAGTCTGCTTCTGTAAAGATTTACAGCCTTGGAAACCCTGTGGGGCAGTTCTACTCTGTCCTATAGGGTAACTAGGAGTTGGAATCTACTCCAAGGCAGTGGGTGAGGGTGCAAATGAAAATTCTTAGCAGGGGGGTGAATTGGAATGAACTAGTTCAAAGGTCCGATTTAAACTTATGTCTTTAGGCAGATGTTATTCCATCCAAGCCATCAAAAATACTGTGCTCATTGAGTTGTATCTCAGATCTAGATTTCATTTTTAAGCTAGGCAGGAGTCTGCAGTCCCCGTCCTCACCCACACCTCACATCCCTGCCTTGAGCCTACACCAGGCCTCACCTTGATGTATGCCCAGGAAATAGGCAGGATGGAGCTGGAACCCCATGGAGCTGCGCTCACGATGCCCACAGACTGCGTGTCCACTTCTGGCTTCCCTGCAATGATGGGATGGCTGGGCAGGAAGGGGGCAAGATGCTTCTTCCTGTGTTTTAATATGAAGTAGAAATTCGTAAGATGTAAAAGGATCCAGTCCAATCAAGCAGGCATGTGCTGAGCTGTCTAGGGAAGCTCTATACTTAGCAGAGGAACTGACAGCAGAAGGAATCTGACATCTGGTAAGAGCAGTGGCATCAGTAGGACTGGTGTCACCCAGTGCAATAACTCATGGTGTCACCCCCTCCAATAACTCATGGTGTCATCCCCTCCATGGACCTCCTACCTTACCAGACCATACAGAATCCTTAGTAATGTTTATTATCAATTTTAATCATAGAATAATGTGATAAAAACAGTTGTAAATTGCTCAAATGTAATATTTCTTAGATTATATGAATATTAACAACAAATTGTTTTGTAAAATCTTTCTACATTGAATAGCAACATTATTAGTTACAACATTATTAGTATCTGAGCACAAGCCTATTTCTGATTTTTCTCTCTTTTCCTTTAATTACTATTTCATTATCAAAAAAGTTACTGATAAAGGTTTGCAGATGCTATATTATTTCAATATTGTAGCCAAAACATGAGAAAATTTGACAAAATCAGCAACTTAAAAAACACTGGCAGCAACAAAAACAACAGCTTGTAGCGCGTGCAGAAGCGTCATTGCAATTGGGTAATAATGACAGCTCAGACCGGAGCACATTAGAAGGTTCTAAAAGCAAATAAGCATAGAATTTTATTTAGCCTTGTAGGTATAATGATACATATAAGCTAACTACAGGGATGTTATTGTTAGGCACCATCAAGTCAGCTCCAATTCATAGCAGCCCTACATATAACTGAAAGAAACACTGCCTGATCCTTTGCCATCTTCACAATCCTTGCTATGCTTGATTCCATCATTGCACCCTCTGTGTCAATCCATCTTGTTTTCCCTTTTTCTGCTGACCCTCTACTTTGCCCAGCATGGTATCCTTCTTCAGGGATTGGTCCATTCTGACAACATGATCAAAGTAGGTGAGATGAAGTCTGGCCATTCTTGCTTCCAAGGAGCACTCTGGCTGCACTTCTTCCAGGACGTATTTGTTGGTTCTTTTGGCCAAACCAAAAACCAAATTCACTGCCATTGAGTTGTCTCTGACTCATAGCAACCCCTCCTTGGGTTTCTGAAGCAGTATCTCTACACAAGTAGATTGTTAAGTCTTCCTTCTGAGGAGTGGCTGGTGGGTTTGAACCGCCAGCCTTCTGGTTAGCAGTCAAGTGCCTTAGGCACTATGCCACCAGAGCTCCTCATTCTTCTAGCAGTCCATGGTATTTTCAGTATTCTTCATCAACACCACAATTCAAAGGCATCAGTTCTTCGGTCTTCCTTATTCATTGTCACCTTTCAAGTGCATATGAGGTGATTGAAAATACTATGGCTTAAGTTAGGCACACCTTAGTCTTCAAAGTGACATCTTTGCTCCTTAACACTTTCAAGAGGTCTTTTGCAGCAGATTTGCCTAGTGCAATACAACATCTGATTTTTTTTTTTTTTTTTTTTTGACATCTGATTTCTTGACTGCTGCTTCCATTAGGGTTGATTGTGGATCCAAGTAAAATGAAATCCTTAACAATGTCAATCTTTTCTCCATTTATGGTGATGTGGTTTATTGATCCAGTTGTGAGGATTTTTGTTTTCATCATGTTGAGGTGTAATTCATACTGAAGACTGTATGTAGTCTTTGATCTTCATCAGTAAGTGCTTCAAGTCTTCTTCACTTTCAGCAAGCAAGGTTGTGTCATCTGTATATCACAGGTTACTAATCAGTCTTCCTCCAAACTTAATGCTATGTTCTTCTTCATATAGTCCAGTTTCTTGGATTATTTGCTCAGCATACAGATTGAATAGGTATGGTGAAAGGATATAACCCTGATGTACACCCTTCTTGATAACCAAAAGCCTGGTGGTTCAAAGCCACCAGCCACTCCTCAGAAGGAAGATTGGGTGATCTACTCCTGTAGTGATACTGCCTTGGAAACCCAAAGAGGGGTCGCTATGAGTCAAATCTGACTCAACGACAGTGAGTTTGGTTTTGGGTTTAGTATGCCCTTGTTCTCTTTGAACAACAGCCTCTTGGTCTAGGTGCAGGTTCCTCATGAGCACAATTAAGTGTTCTCAAATATTTTTATAAAAAATAATAAATTTCTGCTGAAACACTGAACAAAAATTTTATAGACAGTCTTTTTCGTGTCACCCCCTCTGACAGTATCACCTGGTGTGGTCTGTACCCCCACAACTCCCTAGTAACACACAGGCTAAGAGGCTAAGAGGCAGATGCTCCAGAAGTGCTACCCTATGGTTCCCCTAAGCACTGAGGCAGAGGATGGAGACAGGCAACTAGAAAAGGTGTGCAGAGCCCTGGGCTCACCCCCATGAGAGGGCCTCCCAGCCCCTCTTCCCCACCCTCCTGCCCTGTCTCCTGTCCATCTGGACTTTCTTATCCTCCATCACAGCCCCACCTCTCCTCTATCACACCCCCACATCGTCTCCATCATGGCCTTACCTCTTCTCCATCTTGTCCCTCCCTTTCTCCATCATGGCTCTGCCTCCCTAACCCTAGTCCCACCTCCTCTCTACCCTAGCCCTGTCCATCTCTCTCCTGCACATTTTTGAAGGACTGAAGAAGCTACTCTCACCGTCATTCTCATGATTCAATTTCACATGTGAAAGGTTAGTAAGGGCTGTTGTTGTTGTTATATGCCGTCGAGTTGGACCAGACTCATAGCGACCCCTTAGTAAGGGCTAGGAATTAGTTTATTACTCTTATTCTGATTTTATCCAGTTCTTTATAGGAATAAGGTTTGTTTCTGCCTTACTGATCTCAGATGTAGTAAGAATTCAGCCTGCAAAGTGTTCAACATCTTACACTCAATTCACCTTCAGTGTAACCGTCAAATGATTTTAAAAAAAGACAGACAAGCTACTTGGAAATCTAAGCTGAAGTCTGAAAGGAACTTCCAGGTGGTAACATTCCAGTTCTGATCCACAACAATCAAATAAAGTTTGGTACCCATTAAAGGGAAGCCCTGGTGGCACAGTGATTAAAATGCTCTGCTGCTAACTGAAATGTAGATGGTTTAAACCCACAGTTCCAACTTACCAGCTACTCCTCGGAAGAAAAATGTGGCTGTCTGTTTCCCTAAAGATTTACAGAAACCATGTATGAGTCAGAATTGACTCAAAAACAGTGGGTTTGGTTTTTAATGGGTATAAACCCAAACCAAACCATTGAGTCAATTCCAACTCATAATGACCCTATAGGATGGAGCAGAACACCCCCATAGGGTTTCCAAGGTTTCAGCCTTTCTTTATGAAAGAAGACTGCTACATCTTTCTCCATGGAGTGGCTAGTGGATTCAAATTGCCAACCTTTCAGTTAGCAGCTGAGCACTTAACCGCTGCACCACTGGGGCTCCTAAGTTCTGTATGCGTGGTAGTTAATAAATCTACTTTGTGTATACATGACTGGGAACTCAGTGTGGCCAACCAAACACTGTGGTTATTGCAATCAGTTCAGACTTCTCTTTGTACTTACCCTATAAACACCCCTCCCACTGTGCCCAACTCTCCACAGGCTCACTCCATAGTAAGGTAGCTTTGATTCATAGTACTTTGATAGAAGAATATGGAGTCGTTCTTTCCTTATCAGTCCCCAAAGCCATCCTGAGCCCACTGCCCAGCACTCACACTCCAATGGGCCCCATGCCAGGGCCACCTCCTCCATGGGGAATGCAGAAGGTCTTGTGAAGATTTAAGTGCGAGACGTCAGACCCAAAGTCTCCAGGACGACAAAGTCCCACCTGCCACAAAGGAAAAGGCCAAAGCAAGAGTCGAGAGCATTGAAGGGCACTTTGGTGTGAAGGCTGTGGGGATTTGCAGTACACCTCCCATGCCCCCAGGGGAAAGGCAGACAGTGAGGGGAACTATAGCAGAAATATGTCTGTGATGTTCACAGAAGCTTCAATACTAGCAGAGGTCAGCAGTCAAAACTTGGCATCCCACAGGCAGAGTGGCTTTTGGTTTCTATGGAAACAGCACATTCCTAAGTCAGTTCCTAATTATCCATCCAAGAAGGAGGAGAGGAAGTGCTCATAACACAAGGAAGGACCTCCTCGATACTGAAATAGGTAACTTTTCCCCAGCAGTTCTTCCTCCTCCCTGGGTGCTCATGTTAGGTACAAGGTGCATTAGTGAACAGCCCCATAGGGTGTACTTGATGAAGGGCTAAAGGGCTGTCAAAGAGGACACTGAATGGAGGGAAAGGAAGCAAGGCTGACAATTTTCCAGAGGTGATCCAGATGCTACCACAACACACCTGGCATTCCTTCCACATACATATTCAGGCTAATTTTGAACATGGCCAAACAAAAAGAATCTGTTTATGCTATGGAAGCAATAGACAATCTTTAGACTATGTTTATGAAAGGAACCAGAGAAAAGCAAGGAAAAACAGAAAAAGTGTGAAATGGCAAAGAAACCAAGAAGTTGAAAAGACCCTCAAAGAGCGTATGACACTCCTCTCCTGTAGCAGATCCCCCACAGCATTTCCTCAGAGAGGCAATTGCAGGACTGTCCCCTTGGGATGTAACTATTCAGCTATTTCATATCTGGTGAAGCTGAAGCCAGGGTAAGGGATTTGTCCAAGACCACGAGGACTGGCATCTACCAGGGGCCAGACCTTGGGTCTGAATTCCTTCAGGAAAGGAGTCAGGGAAACTTCTAGAGGGTTCAAACTCCCTGACAAATCTGTCCAAGGAAATTCAGCTCATCTCTTACCTTTATTCTTCTTCTCCAGCATCTCCCATCACTTCCTCTAGAACTTGCACTCCCAGTGAAACTCATGGGCTTTGTTTGAAGCTGGCAATAGTGTTAGCTTTGATTCTGAATTCAGTGTTATATTTTAAGATGACGCCAAAAAGTCAAAGGGGAAAAATCTATTTTTTTTACTTAATCATTTCTCAGAGGGAACTTAGGGTACCCTGTCACATTTCCCACCTGAGCATTCATGTTTGCTCCATCTAGGTAAACCTGTCCTCCATGCTGGTGGATCAGGTCACACACATCACTGATATTCTCTTCAAACACCCCGTTGGTGGATGGATACGTGATCATAATGGCTGCCAAGTTCTCCTTGTGTTTACCCACCTTTGGGATACAGAAAGCAGAGAAAGAAGAAGAGAAGGTACTTGCCATTTACATATATATATATATATACAATTTTTTTCCAAAACTTTTCTTATTTTTTATTGTGATTTGGGTGCAAGTTTACAGAGCAAATTGGTTTTCCATTCAGCAATCCACACACATTCTGTTTTGTGACATTTACTGCAATCCCCACACTATAACAGCATTCCTTCTACTTCCTCCCTGTGCCCTCCCCTTTCCTCCATCCTTCCTTCCCATCCCTTCCCTCTTTCCTAGCTTAATCCCTTGGCAAAAGCTGTCCACTTGATCTCATATTCTTGTGTTCTAATAAGTGCATAACCTTCTGGTATTACTATTCATTCACCTTATAGGCCTATTGTTTGGCTGACAGTTGAGTCATTGGAGTTAAGTTCAATTCGTGGCTTAAAGGGTGCCTAAGAGCTATAGTCTCAGGGGTTCCACCAGTCTTCATTAGACCAATAGGCCTTGTCTTTTTGTTTATGATTTTGAGCTTTGTTCCACATTTCCCCCCACTCTATTCTTATAGAATTAAGAAAGATAAGTCATGGTCTTCTCTTTCCTGGAGGTGTTTCAAAGCACAATGACAACCATAAAAGATCCACAGTGATTACCCTCTTCATAAGTCATTCCCAAGAAATAGTACGGTCCTTTCAGGCTAAGTATTCAAGGTCAAGACCAAAAAGACTATTTAGAAGAGTTTGATATTTTGGCCTCAAGTCTCTAAACTGGTTTTCCTTGGATTTAAGTCATCTCAATAATTACCTCAGACTTCTTTGTTTCTAGACATGTCTGTTCTCACCGTCAATCACTCTAGTTATCTTAACATGCTCACCTCTACCCTTTTTCCCTCCCATTCCACTGAAATTAGAATTCCCACCAGGAGGGTTCCTACTCTGATAAAAAAAATCTCCCTCTTTTTCCCTTTTGAGAGAAGGCAAGCATATATAAAGGCCTGTTCTTGTTTTTAGGTCCCCCGGGTCAGAGCAGGCTCATGTGGAAATGAAAAAGAAACAATTGTATTCTATATTGGAGAGAGTTAATAATTACAACTACTGACTGGCTCAGAATATTTGTGGGAAAAAAGTTTGTGGGTTAGGGAAGGGTGGCGTGGATGGAAGAGATAAGCAGCATTATGTATTTCCACCTTCCTTTTGAAGGTAATTACATGGAGTTCTCAGTTCCGGTGCCTAATAACCCTGGCTGAATTGCATTGCTATTCAACTGATTCCCTTCCCTCTTAAGATGCAGCCTCTAGGTCCGCCAGTAGAAAGCAGATATGGTTGCTAAGCAACCTCTTCCTGGAGATTGGGAGGTTGGAATTGGGGGCTGGGGTTTGAGATAAGAAGGATGGGAATGCTGCCCAAAATTCAGCAGGTGATGGCTGGGTCAGTCACAGACATCTGCAAAACCTACATTTGTGTTCTAATTCCCATCACAAGATGAACTAAAAGTGTGACTGCCAGTTGGATTGTTAATGAGGGAATGAACAGAAGGAGGGAGAAGTTTGGGCAGAAAGAGGCAGGGTAGGACTTTAAGATAGGCAGGAGTATCCTTACTACTTCCATGAATAATTCATTTGAATTAGAGGATGAGGATTTCAGTGTAAATGATCATCCCCCTGTTGGCAAAAGGAGGGGTAAAGCAGACCATGGTCAGCTTTATTTGGGGCCAAAAATATGAGCACTGACTTTTCATTATCCCTACAGAGACTGTTAGCTTTGTTATCTTATACCATTTTCCACCAAGCTATTCCCAGGAGGAGTTGTAGTCTTTTCATTAGAATGCAAGAGAAGATACACTGATGTACTCCACCTGGGCTCTGCTCCCCACTGCCCCTTCCCAATCCAGAATGCTCCCAGCTGCTAAAGGAAAGACAGCTCATACCATGGCCTTGAGGTGGGCTGCGTCGATATTACCATATTTGTCCACCTCCACTGGCTGAATCTTCATGCCTGCCATGTGGGCACTTGCCGGATTGGTCCCATGTGCTGATTTCGGAATGAGGCAAACCTTAGGAATGGAGAGAAAAGAAGGAAGGAGAAAAAAAATATCAAAACACTACTCAGCAACTCCAATCCTAGGTGTATACCTAAAAGAATTGAAAGTGGGAACACAAACAGATACTTGTGCATGGTGTTCATTACAGCACTCTTCATAATAGCCAAAATGTGGAAACAAGCTAAATGTCTATCAATAGATGACTGGGTAAATTGTGGTTACATACAATGGAAATTACTCATGTATAAAGAGAAATGAAGTCCTGCTGCATGCCACAGCATGGATGAACCTGAAAAACATTATGATGAATAAATTTTATCACAAAAGGACAAACATGGCATGATCTCACTTACATGGCGATAAGCAAATACATACAAAACAAAACTTATTAGTGGTTACCGGAGGTGGGAGGGAAGAGGGAGCTTTTGCTTGGGAGGCACTGAATTCATATCAACAGTGGTAGAATGATGAAGAAAAAGACAGGGATGGGGTTGTACCACAACAATGAGTATAATCAGTGTCACTGATATGCACACATAGAAACCGTTGAATTGGTGAATCTTCTATGGAAGGAAGAATTCATTTTCACAGAAATAAGAATAAAAAGGGCTAGTCATAGTGACAGAAAGGTTCTACACCACAATTAAAACACAAATTAAGTTATTATTGTTGTTGTTATGTGCCATTGAGTCAGACCCTACTCATAGCGACCCCTCCTTGGGTTTCCGAGGCAGTATCACTACGGAAGTAGATTGCCCAACCTTCCTTCCAAGGGGTGGCTGGTGGGTTTGAACTGCCAGGCTCCTGGTTAGCAGTCAAGTGCCTTAGCCACTATGCTACCAGAGCTTCCACAAATTAAGTAGGTGCCACATACTTTTATTTAAACTCTTTTTTTTTTTAAATTCAATTATGATTTGAGTGAAAGTTTACAGAGCAAATTCATTTTTCATACAGCAGTTCATACACATTTTGTGTTATGACACTGACTACAAAGTAACAGCTCTCTTCCCACTTCCTCCCTGTAGTTATCTCTTCCCTGTGTAAACTGACCCAATTTAATTACTGTTGTTGCAAAGCTATGTCCAAAAAAAGTTTCCATTTAATCCCCAAATATTGTTCACTAAGACTTTCAGATATCCATACTCTCTTTCCTACCCCAGCACAAGAAAAATAGGCCTGTGCTTTTTCTAACCTCGACTCATTCACAGTACATAGGAAACGCCTTACAAGACCAGAGATTGGAATTGAATTCTAGGAGTGAAAAGCTCACACCAGATCTTCAGTGCTCTGCTCAGTTTGCCCAGGAGAGGTGATAATGGTGGACATAATTTCAGGGTTAACGCTAGGCAACAGATTGGTAATTGCCATGAGAATCATAAACTAAGCATGAAAATCATCCAAACCTTGTCCTCTGTTCCACGATTCTGGCATACATATAAATGAATATCTAGAGCCCACTGGAGGAGTGCCTGGATGGTGCAAATGGTTAATGAGCTTGGCTGCTAACCAAAAGGTTAGAGGATCAAGTCCACCCAGAAGTGCCTTGGAAGAAAGGCCTAGTGATCTACTTTTGAAAAATCAGCCACTGAAAACCCTATGGAGCACAGTTCTATTCTGATATACATGGAGTCACCATGAGTTGGGATCTATTCAATGGCAACTGGTACTGGTCAAGCAGACCCAGTCTGAGGGAACTCAGAAAAAGAAGATGTGGTTCAAGTTGAGAAAATAAGGAAAGCATCTCAACAGTTGGAGCCTAAGCTGGAGCCTAAAGATGAGTTGAATTCTTATGGAAGGAAGATGAGGGATACAATGTTGGAATTTCCAGATTTAAATCCTTTGAATTTCCTCCTAACAGTCATGGAGTGCATGCAAACCTACACATTCTGGCAGATCTAATGATGAATCTCTATGGGAAAGTACATCACCAAGTTTCCCCAACAGATAATAACAAGAGAAGCAGTGATTGCCCAGAAAATAATCCTCCTGCTTTTTATCCCAGAACAATATTGCAACCTCTTAAAGAGAAATGGATGGGCATTATAAAAATGGGCTTATAAAGGGAATACTTAGTTTCCAGCTGCTTCTTCAAAAAACAGTGAAGCAGTCCACTTAAGGAAAACCATGGATATGCAAAGAAAACAAATATGGACTTGGTGTGATGCTCACTCTTCTGCTGATTCAAGGTTTATCCTCTTTTGAAGGACTATTGGTCTCCTGCTGATTATACTGTGCTGTCCTAAAATCATTTTTCTTGTTTAAATGCTTCCCTTATTGTTTTTTTTTTTTAAATTTTTTTTCTAATTTTCTGAGGACCAAAGCTGGAGTCATCTGTCATCTATAGAGCTTGGGTCTCTCTCACAGTTATTCAAGTCCACCAAAAGGATCTAGGAGCTCTGGTAGCATAGTGCCTAAGGCACTTGACTGCTAACCAGAAGGCTGGTGGTTCAAACCCCCTAGCCACTCCTCGGAAGGAA